ACGATTCTGAAGAAGACTGCGCAAGCGGATTTGCGATATCTTAATGTTGGGTGCGAGTTATTTAAAAAATTTTTTTTTTTATTAATTAAATTAACTACAAACGAAATTTATGTTACTACAAACAACTACAAACGAAATGCTATCAATTTCTATATTAAAAAATTAATTTTGAAAAAGTCGGGTGCTAAGTTCACATAGGTCTTTCTTTACTCTGTGTGTCTATGTTGTACGCTGTAGACCTTAGCTAGAAATATAAGTATATACAATATAAGAAATATAAGTATATATAAAATACAAATTCATCATTTTTCAGGAGGGCGCTGAATAATTTTTATTCTTGAAAGGGGGCAATAGACCAAATAAGTTTGGAAACCTCTGATTTAAAACAATCCCAAATATGTAAAAATACGCAAATAATTTTAAAAAAGATTGGATCAAAAGAGGATAGAATATTAATAAGAGATGATGATGAAAATAGTATTTTTTAAAAATTTGATTTTCTTCAGAAAAACATTAGCAAATTATATGCTATAGAAGAGTATAATTTATTTTTAAGTTATTTTTATTTATTTAAATTTTTATTTTAATATTCTTCATTATTTTAATAATTTTATTTTAATAATATTTTTCTTCTTTTTCTGTGCTTTGGTTAGAGAACATAAAAGTATAAAAGTATAAAATCCATACAGTTAAATAGTTATTTCTTTAATATAAGTTACGTGAGAAAGTTATTAATGCGAATGTTACTATGATTGATATTAATAAATTATTTTATAATTTCAAGCTCCAAGGTGTTTTATTCATAACATCTTTTTTTACTCTGTGTGTCTATGTTGCATGCTGTAGAACTTAGCTAGAAATATAAGTATATACAATATAAGAAATATAAGTATATATACAATACAAATTCATCATTTTTTAGGAGGGCGCTGAATAATTTTTATTCTTGAAAGAGGGCAATAGACCAAATAAGTTTGGAAACCTCTGATTTAAAACAATCGCAAATATGTGAATATATGAACATAATTTTAAGAAAGATTGAATCACAAGAGGATAAAATATTAATAAGAGATGATGATGAAAATAGTATTTTTAAAAATTTGATTTTCCTCAATAAAACATTAGCAAATTATATGCTATAGAAGAGTATAATTTATTTTTAAGTTATTTTTATTTATTTAAATTTTTATTTTAATATTCTTTATTATTTTAAAATTTTATTTTAATAATATTTTTCTTCTATTTCTGTGCTTTGGTTAGAGAACATAAAAGTATAAAAGTATAAAATCCATACAGTTATATAGTTATTTTTTTAATATAATATAAGTTACATGAGAAAGTTATTAATGCGAATGTTACTATAATTGATTTTAATAAATTATTTTATAATTTCAAGCTCCAAGGTGTTTTATTCACAACATCTTTCTTTACTCTGTGTGTATATGTTGTATGCTGTAGAACTTAGCTAGAAATATAAGTATATACAATAAAAGAAATATAAGTATATATAAAATACAAATTCATCATTTTTCAGGAGGGCGCTGAATAATTTTTATTCTTGAAAGGGGGCAATAGACCAAATAAGTTTGGAAACCTCTGATTTAAAACAATCGCAAATATGTGAATATATGAACATAATTTTAAGAAAGATTGAATCACAAGAGGATAAAATATTAATAAGAGATGATGATGAAAATAGTATTTTTAAAAAATTTGATTTTCCTCAATAAAACATTAGCAAATTATATGCTATAGAAGAGTATAATTTATTTTTAAGTTATTTTTATTTATTTAAATTTTTATTTTAATATTCTTTATTATTTTAAAATTTTATTTTAATAATATTTTTCTTTTATTTCTGTGCTTTGGTTAGAGAACATAAAAGTATAAAAGTATAAAATCCATACAGTTATATAGTTATTTTTTTAATATAATATAAGTTACATGAGAAAGTTATTAATGCGAATGTTACTATGATTGATTTTAATAAATTATTTTATAATTTCAAGCTCCAAGGTGTTTTATTCACAACATCTTTCTTTACTCTGTGTGTCTATGTTGTATGCTGTAGAACTTAGCTTGAAATATAAGTATATACAATATAAGAAATATAAGTATATATAAAATACAAATTCATCATTTTTCAGGAGGGCGCTGAATAATTTTTATTCTTGAAAGGGGGCAATAGACCAAATAAGTTTGGAAACCTCTGATTTAAAACAATCCCAAATATGTAAAAATACGCAAATAATTTTAAAAAAGATTGGATCAAAAGAGGATAGAATATTAATAAGAGATGATGATGAAAATAGTATTTTTAAAAAATTTGATTTTCTTCAGAAAAACATTAGCAAATTATATGCTATAGAAGAGTATAATTTATTTTTAAGTTATTTTTATTTATTTAAATTTTTATTTTAATATTCTTTATTATTTTAATAATTTTATTTTAATAATATTTTTCTTCTTTTTCTGTGCTTTGGTTAGAGAACATAAAAGTATAAAAGTATAAAATCCATACAATTATATAGTTATTTTTTTAATATAATATAAGTTACGTGAGAAAGTTATTAATGCGAATGTTACTATGATTGATTTTAATAAATTATTTTATAATTTCAAGCTCCAAGGTGTTTTATTCACAACATCTTTCTTTACTCTGTGTGTTTATGTTGTATGCTGTAGAACTTAGCTAGAAATATAAGTATATACAATATAAGAAATATGAGTATATAAAAAATACAATTTTATCATTTTTCATGGGGGCGCTGAATAATTTTTATTCTTGAAAGGGGGCAATAGACCAAATAAGTTTGGAAACCTCTGATTTAAAACATTCGCAAATATTTGAAGATATGCAAATAATTTTAAGAAAGATTGGATCACAAGAAAATAGAATATTAATAAAAGATGATAATAAAAATAGTATTTTTAAATAATTTGATTTTCCTCTGAAAAGCATTAGCAAATTAAATGTTATAGAATAGCAAAAATTATTTTTAAGTTATTTTTATTTATTTAAATTCTTATTTTAATATTCTTTATTATTTTAATAATTTTATTTTAATAATATTTTTCTTCTTTTTTTGTGCTTTGGTTAGAGAACATAAAAGTATAAAAGTATAAAATCCATACAGTTATATAGTTATTTTTTTAATATAATATAAGTTACGTGAGAAAGTTATTAATGCGAATGTTACTATATGATTGATTTTAATAAATTATTTTATAAATTCAAGCTCCAAGGTGTTTTATTCACAACATCTTTCTTTACTCTGTGTGTCTATGTTGTATGCTGTAGAACTTAGCTAGAAGTATAAGTATATACAATATAAGAAATATAAGTATATAAAAGATACAAATATATCATTTTTCATGGGGGCGCTGAATAATTTTTATTATTCAAAGGGGGCAATAGACCAAATAAGTTTGGAAACCTCTAATTTAAAACAATCACAAATATGTGAAGATATGCAAATAATTTTAAGAAAGATTGGATCACAAGAGGATAGAATTTTAATAAGAGATAATGATGAAAATAGTATTTTTTAAAAATTTGATTTTTTTCTGAAAAACATTAGCGAATTAAATGCTATAGAAGAGTATTTGACGGACGAAAACAATACTAATATGATATAAAAAAACTGTTAATCTCGGCTCGAATTATTGTGTTACAATAAAAATAAAATCTCGACGGCAATCGGAGCCTGTGCGGATGACATGCACAAAATTAATAAATTAAAATGAGATCTCAAATCAAACTCATTTATTAAATTCTAAACGTTTCGACCCACTTCGGGTCTTCTTCAGTAGCTGCAAAGTACAAAGAAACAAAAATAAAAGATAAACGGTACAATCAGAAAATTATAAAACTCGTATACATACAATCCGCAAATAAATTAAATATCATTCTCCTCCCTATTCAAACCGTCCGGCCGTCGGAGTGTCTCCCTAACGGTGACCATCGTCAGGAAGGAAGCAGAGCAGTGACTCCCTTACCAACACTAATCAACATAGTATAAATTAAACGTATAAAATCCACAAGAATTATAAATTAAAAACCGGGAAGAACACTCACCCCGACAGCAAAAACAGAGAGAAGACGATGCTACACGTGACACATCACTCTAACGACTGTGCGGTATTCTACCTCGACACAGTCGATATATATACGCAAAAAAACAAATATAAAAATAAAATATGAAAATAAAAATAAAAACAACTAATACTTATCGGCAGTCATGTCAAAGGTCTAACGAAAAATCCGGTTATGTATAATCACAAAGCTAGATTTTGGTAAATTTTTCAATTAACAGATCAAAATTCTCGTTTAATTTATCGGTGTCGCTATGTAAATTTAAACTATTCTTCTGACGCTTTATGTGGATCATTTCGGATATCAAACGTTTACCTAAAAAAGGCTCCTCGTCCAAGACTTTTACATCCTCCCAATTAAATTCATGGTTCAATAATCTATGTTCCGATATGACTGATAATTGTGACGCGTTTCTTTTTATGTTGCTGCGATGTTCTTTCATCCTAGTTTTCAACAATCTACCCGTCTGCCCTACATACGACGCATCACGATCCATACAATCAATCTTATAAACTACATTGTTATGAAGTTCCCTTGGTAACTTATCCTTGTGTACTTTGATGAATTTACGGAGACTGTTAATTGCTGTATAGGATGGAATGACATCCAAATCACGTGTAATGTCCTCGATTCTCTTCGATACATTATTAATATACGGAATATTAAAGTACGAAACTTTTTTCTGCGTTGGAATCTTGTCATTGCATATATTTGCTCTATTGTTATGCAACTTATTATTGTAGCGGAAGAACAACTTTTTTAACCGCGCTTGTAATGTTTGAAATATCAATTTGAGAGGATAATTATTAGACAAAAGAACTCCAATCATAGACTCAAAATTATCTTTATGGAATTTCGGATGAGATAGCCAAAAAACTCTATCTATGAGGCTGATAATGGTGCCTTTTTTATGGCAGAGAGGATGCTGCGACTCAAAATTTATACTAAAATACTAATATGCTTATTTATCTATTAACACTTAATATAATTGAAATAATAGTAAAACATATACTGTAAGCGGCGCGTAAATAATTACCTTGATACGCAATGTCCGGCGTTAGCGTCGTTTCCGACACCCGTGCGGTGCTGCCACCGTAGCATATAGGGTGGCCAAAGGATATGCGCGCGCATGCGAGCGCGACCGCGGGCCGTAGGCCGTTAGATTCGAAGTCGAGGAGAACGACTCTCCTTTGAGAAGTGCAAACGAGCAGACGTGTTATTAAATCGTGCGCATGAGAGTACTTTCGAGAAGTGTTAAATTGTAGAAGCATTCCGATCTTTATTAAATCTTTATTACTAAAATCAGTGTCCGTTGAATTTCACCTAACAACGCTCCAATCCTGGCGAGAACCGTTTGCAGTGCGTACGGGCTCCTGTGGCATCCAATTCGCCTTTAAAAATTCAGTCTTAAACACCGGTTACTTGACATACAAAGAACATTCGAGAAGTTTCCAGACGAGGATCCAAAGGAAAGAGACTAACGCTTAACTCTTGAGTCATTTGAAAATAGCAACAGCAGACTTTTACAATACATTATTTACAGTTTCTAACAAATTGGAATTTTTGTCTCTATCTTGATAGCTTTAATCAAGTAATTCACGATTGAACGAATTTATACAACGTAATACTCGTTAATGTTCGAAGGCAACTATCGTTATTATATTGTCACTCCGAACGTTCGCAAGAATCCAACTGTTAGATTTCAAAAGTCTAAAAATTCGAGTCATCTTTAAACCCGGAACTTTCCGCTGGCGCCGGATGTTGGTGTCGCTGCGTGGCGCTGTTGTAGCTCGTCCAATGAGAAGATCGCTACAGTACTCCCCTCCGAGCGACCTTAGGTTTGTTCGTTTTACCTACACTTTCTCCACTTTTGTAGAAAGTGTACACTATCACGTTTCTTTTACAAGAAGTGACGTCATAGTACGCTGTTCGTTTTGCGAGTGTAGCTACACTATAGTGGCGATTTCCCTATACTTTTTACACTTGGTCTTGAGGAGGTGTGAAAAGTGTATACCTACGATTCCCGCGAAATATAACGTACATATGATTAACACCAACGAGACCTGAACATAATTCTGAAGAAATATTTACCGGTAATAAACCTTTATAAAATAGTTAATGTATTACATTATTAAAATGAATGCTTTTATGATGTTAAGAGATATTCATAACATGAGATCATTAATAACATTTTTAATAATATTTTCTGTTTCATATTTTAGCTGTTCACTATGCAAAAAGAAAATATGCAAGTAAAATTTGCAAACATTGCTCAAGATTCCAAAGGAAATTTTATTGTCAACGGTGACAATAATATTCTCTGCACATCCAAAGGTGAGAATATATATTATTCAATACAAATTATTCAATATGGCTAATTTAATTACAATTTTACTTATTATTAAAACTGGTACTTTATTTTTCAAATCAAGATTTTTATTTTATTATTATTCAATTTTATTATTTTTTTATTGTGACAAATGAAACAATTGTGTGTTTCAGTATTTATAATAATTGCTTTACATTTTTTGGTATATTTAAATTGTTTAGATGGATTGAAGTTTATTTCTAAGAATTCATTATTATTGGACGCTAATGCAATGATCTGCCCAGTTGAGGACGAGTTGTATCAGATTGAATTAGATAATTTAAATGATAAAGCAAACAATGCCTCAAATATTGACACTACTGATGAATCATCCACTTCAGCAACAACAAATGAATCTGCCATAATTAAAAAGAATCATGATACTGATTCTTCATTTTCATGGAATGATGAACCTACCAGATATTTTTTATCTTTATATCAAGAAAATAGAAAACTTGTTTTGTCCAGGAAGTTGAAAACATTAAAAGCAATGTGGATTCATATCGCTAATACAATGACAAAGTCTGGATATAATGTATCTCCGCTACAAGTTGAAAACAAATTTAAGACGATGGAACGAGCATATAAGAATATGGTGTCAAACAATAAAAAAACAGGAAGAGGACGGGCAACATGTAGTTATATGATTTTTTAATTTTATTACGACTGTGATTTTAACTTGCAAACGCAATGAAGTTCATAAACATTAAAAGTTATAAAGTTACATAAAATAATGTTACATTCAAAATAATGTTACATTCAAAATATTTTGTATTTAGCAAGATTTTTTTATTTAGCAAACGATTTTTTTTATTTAGCAAAAGATTTTTTTTATTTAGCAGAAGTTAAAAGAATGTAACAAGCAATTTGACAAAAATTTACTCTAAGTCTCATGTCTAGTAATAAGTATTGTGGTTGTGATGAATTTTATATTCACATTAAAATATATGATTTTCTTTTTATTTTTAGTTACAAAAATGTGATAAAAATGTTAAAAGTATAATATTTTATTGTAATAAATCTTATTTTTATATTAAAGTACATGATTATAAAATACATGAATATACAAGATTAATACACATTTTCTTATTGTATATTGTTGTCTTTTGTATATATTTATCGCATAGCTAGTTGACGGCATATTTCATTTTTAAGATATCGTCCTTCACAATTATCTTCTATTTCAATGTTGTCGTTAATTGGAAAATGTCTTGCTTCGTCATCAGGATAATCATCTGCAATTGGATCTTCGAATAGTCTCAAATCGTTTTCGTTTGCTATATTATGCAGCACACAGCATGCGTGGATGACTTAAACAATTCGAATCATATTTCTCAATTTTAAATGGTACAGTTGACGGAATCGTTGTTTTAAGCAACCAAATGCATTTTCGATGATGACACGACAAGAACTTAACTTCTGATTGAAGTTTCTTTGTGCTCGTGTAAGATGACCGTTGTCTTTGTAAGGTACCATCAAACGTTTCATGCAGGGATAAGTGCTGTCTCCAAGTAAAAAACCATTTTCTATAAACAAATAAAGTATGTACATATTGGCTGGTAGTCATTGTTTGGGTCTTATATTTTTCTAATTCTTTGTCCTTGACTTTAAAAAATTACCTACCTCCACATATATCATCTAAGCTGTTAAATAAAGAGGATTCTCGTAACACTTTGGCGTCATGCACCAAACCTGGGTATCCTATAAAAACGTCAATGAACTTTTTTCAGTGATCTGCCACACCTTGTATTTGAATTGAGAAGTATTGCTTTCTATTTACATATGAATCTTTGTCATATAAAGGTTTATCAATTCTAATATGCGAACCATCAATAGAACCTAGATGAATGATAAATTGAATAACATTATTGAAAGTAACACTTAAAGAATTACAAAAGATATATTTCCAATTACATAATTGGTTTTATCTAAAGAACCTCTAGGAGAGAGAGACTTTCTAGTTTTACCTATGATTCCAGGAAATCCGTTTTTTTGTAAATAATGTTCCTTTGTGAGATTTCTCTCTTCCAGTGAAGGAAATTTTATAATATTAGGTGCAATTGATATTAAGAATGTCGTTACTCTGGATATTATTTTGTACAAAGTGCTCAAAATAACACCAAATCTATCTGCCACATCTCTGTAGGATGCAGTTTGGTGCCCTACAAACCACAAATAACACAAAATGTGTTTCTCTGGTGACGTAGGCTCAAAACCAGCAGGACCTTAATAATAACATGAAATAGAAGAAAACGTGTTACTACAGTTAAAAAATATCTTATAAATAATGCGTTGTCTACAATGGCAGCAGGCAGTACAGAGTACAGAATAAGCAGTATGAATTGAGATTTATCCATTTTGTTACTCCTGCTGAAATGGGTGAATCCCATTTCGTATTGCTCACTGCTTACTTTGTACTCTGTACTGCCTGCTGCAATTGTAGACTACACATAATATTTTTTAAATACCTCTTAAAGATATGAATACTGGAGATCTTTCAAAGTGATTAATCAATGTGTATGCAACTTCTCGTGACAATCGAAAGTGCATGATGAAATCATTTTCGTTGTAATTTCTTACCTGATTTTCTACATAATTCATTACCTTTATGCGTTGTCTTCTTACAATTCCTTGTATGACTACTTGCATCAAATTTTTAATCATGTCGAAATCTGTAATAAACTTTGTACGCATCTATAATAATTGTGTATCTTGTCCCAAGTGTTATATTGTAACAATGTAAAATATAAGTAAGAGTTTCACTCACTTTAAACATATACACAAAAAGGATTTTTTTACATAATTAAAAATTTTTTTATTCATGTGTAGTTAATGTAAACTTATATTGAAAGAGCTAATATTACATAATGATGTAAATAAGCAAAACTCTTGTTATGTAAACTGGATACCTATTACGGTTTTTTAGGTGAGTTTGCTCACGAGGTGAAAATCACAAAAGTGAGAGATTCACTAGGTTGTTTACGCTTTCATTGTCGAAATCTAGTAAATCTTACATTTTTATAATTTTCACCTCGTGAGCAAACTCACCTAAAGAACCATAATAGGCATCCTATTGCAGCTTAATAATTTTACTCTCACCATCATCCTCGATCATGAAATGTGGATCAGGAATGTTTTCATTTTCGTCATCGTCGTCGGAAGAATCCATTAGTATGTAACAAATTTCACGAATTCCTTCCATTGCCATTGTAGAGAGAACGTGTTATTTAACTTTGTTTTTCGTAGGTTATAACTTTGTTTTTCGTAGGCTATGTTTCGCTGTGTATGCAAACCACCATTTTTATTTCACACTTTCGCGTTTGTGCTATCATCACTACACTTGAAAATTTATTCTGTACTTAGTGTACACTACCTTAAATCTCTCTACACTAGTGAGTGTAAAAGTGTAAGTAAAACGAACAAACCTCTTATCAGGGAGCGAAATGTACTTTACGAATTCCCTGTGCGGCTTCCTGGATTGGTTTGGGAATGGTGTTGGTGCTCGTGGCGGCCATTCTCCCGTACGTCGCTAGTGGAGGTTCGTCCGAGGTTATCTCCAGGAACGCTGGTTTCAGTCAGTCGATGGACACGCAGGACACGTCTGTTGGTTGTCCTCTAATGTCGATCCTAAAACAGAAATAGCTAATTCGTTCTATGACAGCGTAAGGGCCCTCGTACGGCTGGTCCAATGGTCCCCACACGCTGTCTACACGTAAAAAGACACGTGTGCATGTGTGCAGTGTCTTGTGTGTGAATGTTCGTGGTCTGTTGTGGTATGCTGTTTGTCGTGGTCGTATTTTTCGCATCGCCTGTCGTAATTTTTCCAGGAATGGAAACGGGTCCTGAGATGGCTCCTCTTGGCTAAAATATTCGCCGGGTATCCTCAGTTGCGTCCCGTACACGAGTTCGGCAGCAGATGTACCGATGTCTTCTTTTAATGCGTTCCGCAATCCCAACATCACTACGGGCAGGACTTTTACCCAGTCGGTCGTCTCGTGACATTTGATTACGGTCTTCAGGGAACGATGCCAGCGTTCGATTATTCCGTTTGCCTGTGGGTGGTACGCGGTTGTGTGTTGTGTCCTGCAACCAATTAATTTTGTTAACGCCTTAAACAATCGTGCTTCAAACTGTGGTCCTCTGTCGGTTGTGATGACTGTTGGTGAACCGAATCGTGCTGCCCAGGATCCGAAAAATGCGTCTGCCATGGTGTCCACGGTGATGTCTGGAATCGGAACCGCCTCCGGGGGGCCATCTGGTAAACCTGTCGATCATTGTTAGACAGTAACGGTAACCTCGTGATGGTGGTAGTGGTCCTACGATATCCAAGTATATGTGTGCGAATCTGTCTTCTGGTACTTTAATGTGTTCCGGCTTCCTTCTAACATGTCTGCTAATTTTGGCCCTTTGACATTGCAGGCATGTACGAGCCCATTCGCCGATGTCCTTGTTTATGGCCGGCCACACAAATTTGGACGCTATGTTCTTCCTAGTCACCCTGCCGCTGGAGTGAGCTGTATTATGGACGACATCAAAGATCCTCTTTCTTAGGGTTTTGGAATGTAAGGTCTGATGCTGTCCGTTGATACGTCGCAGTATACTGTGGTTTCCGTGCCCTCTAATCGTAATTGTTTTAATTGCAGTTCACCTGGATTTTTGAGGAGGCTTTTAAGCTCCTCGTCCGTCTGCTGTTCCGCCGCTATGTCCTCTGTCGTGATGATGACAGGCAACGTGATGTCGTTCATTCGTGATAGTGCGTCAGCTACGCTGTTGTCCAGGCCTGAGATGTGTCGTATATCCGTCGTGAACTGGCCTATGAAATCCAAGTGCCTTTGTTGTCGTGGCGTGGCTTTAGTTGGTCGCTGGTCGAAAGCATACGTCAACGGCATGTGGTCCGTGAATATTATTGTTTCTCTGCCTTCAATCATGTATTTAAAATAATGTATAGCAGTGTACATAGCCAATAACTCACGATCGTATGTGCTATATCTCGTCTGTGTTTCTGTGAGTTTTCTCGAGAAAAATCCAAGTGGCTGACGTTTTCCTTCATTTATTTGTTCTAGGGCTCTTAATATATAGCGCTTATTGTTTTTTTGCCTGTTTAGCATTTCTAAATTTTGCTTTTACAAGCCATGCCTTCATAATTGTTTCAATTTTGTTTAATGTTATTGTATTGTGTTTTTTGCACTGCTTCTGTAAAATAAATTTTATGATATAGTTTTACATATATGTATATATGCATGTGTAAATTATCAAATAATATGTACAGATTAAATTTACTTATTATAGCAGCAGAAATACGTAGTAAGGAAAATTTATTTTTTTCTTTTAATCCTATCCAACTATATTGTTCTACCACTTTATTAGAAAATAATTGAATCATTTTTTTAATAGTATGTTTATACATAACTCCACCAATTTATGATAATTCAATTACCTATTAAAGTAAAATAATATATTTATAATAATATTTATAAAAATTTTATTTTTTTATATAAATTCTATTTACAAGCATATTAGTATTGTTTTCGTCCATCAAATACTCTTCTATAGCATTTAATTCGCTAATGTTTTTCAGAGGAAAATCAAATTTTTTAAAATACTATTTTCATCATCATCTCTTATTAATATTCTATCCTCTTGTGATATAATCTTTCTTAAAATTATACATTTAATTTTTTCTGTGCAGAATTGAAAGGTGAGATCGAAAATCTAGAATTTAATGTCGGGATGTATAGACGTGCAGTGGAAGAATTTACTTCGACGAATGATCGGAGGATGCGGTGGCCCTCGACGGCGGGAGGATAAGGAAAATTAAGGAAATATTGAGGCGGACAAGATTCCAATACGCTCATCTTCTCGATCATTTGCCTCAAGTGAAGGACCAGGAGAAAGAGATCGAGCGGGAGATGTCTTCTCTTTAATCACGCGCGGTCATGTCTTTAAAAAAAAATTATAAGGAAACTATAAAGAAACTATAGAGAAAAATACTGCTGAGAGTAATATATAAAAACTATTTAAACACTACTAAATATATAGATTATCTAAAAATTGTATTCGTATAAAATATACTATAGAGTTTATAAAAAATATTAATAGATTAGATTAGATGTTTATTCCGGACTTCCCTCCTCACTTCATCCATATTACAATATCTTACAAACACTTATACAATCTCTCTTTCTCATCCTTAGCCTGACCTTAAGCGACCTCACAATTCTTTAAAAAATCTTCCTCTGCCTCTCTCCTCCCTCTTTCTTCCTGTGTCTTTATTAGGGATGGGCGATTTTTTCAAAAGTATCGATTTTTTTAATCGATCTAGATCGAAGATTTAAAAATTGATTTGCCAAAAAATCGATTGTCAAAGAATCGATCCATCAAAAATCGATTTTTAAATTTAATTTTAAAGAATATTAAATATTATTCAAAATAATTGCACAATTTTTTATTATAATTTTTTATATCATAATTTATATCTCTATATCTTAATGTGGCTTATTAGAATTGTTTTAAGTAAGTACATTGTTGTCTCTTCTTGCACGAATTGACTTGTATTTAGTTTTAGTTTTGCGTCGCTAACTATTGATTTTTTATAATTTTAGCACTTGAAAAGGACCTAAATTTAAGGTCAAAACGTAGTGTACTTCATATCTAATAAAGACGAATAATATTAATAAGAGCCAGCATGGTCGAACTAATCATTAATTTCCTTATTATAATTTTTGTACATGTTGTACATTTAGTACCACCATGTGAATCTTTTATAAAATATTGCCATACACTACTTCTTTTCACTTTACCCATTTCAAACTTTTCGCTTTCTTTTATAAAATATTGCCATACACTACTTTTTTTCACTTTATCCATTTTAAACTTTTCGCTCGTTCTTTTAATGCCTTTTATAACCTTTCTCAGATAGCTTCAAATAAATAAGAAAGAGATGCCAATAATATCACGTGATTAACATCACTAGCTCTGTGATTGGCTGACAGCTGACGAGCTGGTCACATGATCCTATTATCTCTCTCTCTTATTCTCGAAGATCTCTGAGCCTTTTTTACAATACGTCGTATGTCGCAGTCGGATGACGAAAGTCAATGATCCAATGAGAACTCGTGTTCCAACATCCGATTGTGACATATGACGTAATGAAAAACGGGCCTAATGCAAAAGGCCTAACCTAACTATAGAATCGATCTCTAGATTCAAGAATCGATTTATTGGATTAATCGAAACTGTAGAATCGATCTTAAAAATCGAGATACAAAAGAATCGATTCTTTAAAATATCGATTCAAAATTGCCCATCCCTAGTCTTTATCCATCCATCTTCGATTCCTCCTGTCGATAGCTGCTTAACCAAATATTCTCTTCTTCCCTTCTTCCTCCATCCATTCCTTTCCTCTTTTTCCTCTTGCCTTCATGTTTCTATGTCTCTCTCTGATTCCTTCCTTCTCCCTCCTTTTTCCACCGTCTGTCCAATGTCGCAGGTACCTTCTAGCTCTTACCAATGCCATTGACGTCCTGCGCTCGACTGGGACCTCTTCTCCGCACTCCTTCTTCCCCTTTACTTTTAACATAGAAATATACTTCCTATTTTCTTCCTCCTTTCCCCTCCCTCACCTTCACCCACCTTAACCTACTTCACAATCCTCCTCAACCTCTTTACCTGGTCTTTTGCGACCTTACAATATTTCTAATTTCCTTCCTCTCCCCTTCCCCTTCTTTCTTCAACAAAACCAGCAACCAACTAACAAATTATCAACAAATTCCCTACTCTCTTTATCTCCCCTTCTTCCTGTTCTTCCCTTTTTATTCTCTTTGCTTTTCCCCCTCCTTCCCTTCCTCCTTCCTTTTTCCTTTTTATCTCCTCTCAACCTTTCTTCCTCCTCGTCCTTAACTCATTCTACCTCATCTATTCACATCCTTCCATTACCCCCCATTACTATGCTCCCTTCTCCTCTCTCCATCTTCGTTCTTTCTAACATCCTCCTTCTGTTTCCCCTTCCCACGTATCATAACTTTTTCTTATCCTCTTCCCCTTCCCTCTTTATTCTCATAATTATCTTCCCGTCCTCCCCCCTAACTCTACTGCATTTTCTTAACACACCCACCCTCCTTTCCTTTTCTCTCTTTTCTCCCATTTCTTTCACCGTTCTCTCCATCCTTTTCAGTACCTTGTTGAACTCCTTTACCTCCTCTTCTTACCCATACACTAAACCTTCTTACCGTAATCAGACAATTAGACCATCCTATCCCCCTTCCCCCTATTTTCTTATTTTTACAATAACCCAACCTTATTCTATTTTACAATCATCCTCATCCTCTTCTCCTGGCCTCATGTGACTTCACAATTTTTTCTATGTCCCTTACCTTCCTTCTCCCTGTCCTTTCTTCTCCCTGTTCCCCTTCTTCCTCTTTTCTTTGAATCATCCCTCCTGACAACAATCCTATCAATATCTCCCCTGGCCCCCTGCAAATATTCTTTTCTCGCCCCTCATTCTCTTCCTTCTCCCCTTCCTATTTCCTCTCTCCTGTCCTCTTCTTCCTTTGTTCCTGTTCTCCTCCTTCCTTTTTCTTTCTCCTTTCGCTGACCTTCCTGTTCCTTCCTCCTTTCTCTTCCTGTCCTCTTCCTCCTTCGTTTCTTGTACCTTTCCTTCTCCTACTCTTCGCTTTTCCACGCGTCCTTTTAAAATCTTGATTAGCTCAAAAAAAACTGTCACTCTAGTTGAGTGATATTTGAATCTACGTTTCTCTCATTCGACTTTTACCATCCTTGAGATACCGCTGACAAGCGGTTTAGCATCCAATCATCGATCAAAATCCTCCTTAAAATTGACTGCTGTTGAATCTTCCTCCGTCTCGATAATCCGATCGAAATTAAAAGTAAATTGAAAGGTGCCCCGTACACGTGTACGTAATACTTCATCATTGTTATGTGCGCGAAAGCCTCCATTATTAAAACTTTTCTCTCGTTCTCGCACTTTTCGCCATTCTTTGACCATCTTGTATGTGCGCTACTGAGTCTTGTTATATGTATATCTTATCCATGTAACCATAATCGTCGGGTTTCGAATTACTCGTGAGTGGTTCGTGGTTCGTCCAAGAATCGGACGTCCTCGCCAGGGCCGTGCGAACGGTGCGTTGCACGTAGCTCCGTGGTTTGATCGGCCCCGCGCTAGCTGAATAGTCAAATTCACTATAATGTTTATTAGAACAAACTTGTCGTTTAACGCATGTATTAGATCGGTATTATATTTGTTGTATGACAAATGTAAATTTCGCCCAGCGGGTTGTGTGCAAACAAAAATAAAGTTTTATTACTTATATAACTTAGAACATATATTAATTTATTGTTTTAGATGAATTTCCCAACAATGTTCTAAATTAGCTTGTACTTTTTTCATAAACTTACAAATGTTGATATCAATATCTTAATATTTTCGCTACTTTTTGTGAATGATACGCTGTGCTTTGTATTTTAGTCCTCGACAGAGAGAGAAAGGGGAAGGGGGATGAGAGAAGAGAGCGTGAAAGCCGATTGAAGTACGACTGTCGACGCGCCTTCGATATTCACGACGATCACTAAATATTTTTTTTTGCCGATCAGGAAACAGAAATTAAGTGATGAAGGAGATTTAATTTTTCTGTACTCGTTGATTCCTACTCTGCTGGTTTATTCGTCTGTGGTAATACAAGAGAGATTCAGTGTGCGATGTACATGAGACTTGTAAGAAGAATCGAGCCTTATTTTTGCGAGAGGCCTTTATATATTTTCGGAATTATTGACGATCAATTTCAGGGAGTTATTCCGCTTGCGATAGCGTTTCTTTTAGAATCGACTTATCATATGAATATAGAATATAGAATTACATCATATAATAAGACTTATACAAATAATAATAAGACACGCATACACAATGGGATAATCAAAGTCTGAATCAAAACAAAGCTCGATTACAAAGCGTATTATATTGATGCAAACGATGTTGAACGGAGAATAATACCAAGTCCTTTTAATACGAAATAAAAACGTATTACTCTCGCGAACATTCCGCCCGCCTCGTATACCGTAAGTAACGAAATGACCATTAATGACGTAGTATTTGATGTGCAGTTTACAATTTACATCAGAATTATTTATTTGCATTCAAGAAATTTTTTACAATTAACAGTTCAAAGAGATTTATACGTTCGGCACGTTTATAAGCAGATTACATGATATATTATTCGCATAAGTTGTAATGAGATACGGTTTTTTTACAATCATTCAGAATGTTAATATAACTAAATAATATAACTAAATAATATAACTAAACAATATAACTAAATAATACAATTAAATATTAATATAACTAAATAAATTTTAACAATATGCAATTTCAATTGCGATTAAGAGTCAACTTTTATTGGTAATCGACAGACTTGAGTGATTGCTCGTCTAAAACTCGTTTTAGCAGTACGTAGAGTAACCACGCGAACATGCTTATCTGCTCCTGGATGGACTTCTGTTACTCACGCGAGGTCCCATTTCGCCGGAGGAAGCAGATTATTTTTTTATTAAAACAAGTTCGGGGTAACTTTTATTTCTTTTTGTTTGTTTCCTGCCATTTATCTCGTTGCTGCAATGTGTGCAAATAATTAGACGACCAAGCGCGCCATATTTGTTCGAGAAACGATCGCGTTTGTTGCTATCGAGACAACCGATTCATCTCGATATCTAATATTGAATTCTCCGATGCACTTAATAACGGTCGCCCTATTCAAAAGTGACGGGAGTCAAGGCGGAAAAGTCGCTCGGATCATCACGTAACGCTGAAATTGGTCGTGAATTTAAGCAGGCTTCTATCTAACACAATAGCGTAGCGAACTCAGGTGTGTGAAGTTAGCACCCCGACATTAAAATTCCATAGTTCTGTTATGAGTTCCCGCTTCCTTTTGAAGAGTTTAAGAGTTCCCTATAGTTGATAAAAAGAGTTCCGTCGATTAACGGTTCCAAATTTGAGTCTGAAAAATGGGGTGCTAACTTCACATCGAAAATCGAGATCGAA